ACCAACCTCATCCCGCCCCCTTGACCTGTCCGTCCTCCCTGGACTGACCTATCCCCTTCCTAACTCACTACCTACACTCACTTTACTGGCTCCATGCCCGCCTCTTCGACCTGTTTGTTTCCTCTCCACCTATCCTCTCCGCCTCCCACTCTCTCCTTATTTATTTCAAAACCCCCTTCCCCTCCCCCTTTTCTGATGAAGGGTCTAGGCCCGAAACGTCAGCCTCTCTGCTCCTATGATGCTGCTTGGCCTGCTGTGTTCATCCAGCCCTGCACCTTGTTGTCTCGGATTCTCCAGCATCTGCAGTTCCTACTATCTCTGTTGAATAGATTCTTGATTGACAGGATAAGGAAGTTAAGATCACAGCTGGACTAGTCTTGAAGAGGTGAATTGCCCATTCCTACTTAGGTGGCTGTGATGTGAATGTAACAAACACAGCAAGCATCTGCAAATGATAGTGACTAGATAGACTTTTTGTAATGCTGTCTGAGGACACAAAGAAGACTGTTTTCTTCAAATCATACCCTTAGGATTTTTTTAAAACACAAAGTAATATAAGGCAGATCTTAAACATAGCAAGCATTTTTGTATCCTCTAGATAGCTGGCTTGACATTAGAACTGACCTATAACCTCAGAGTCCAGTTACCAAGTTGTTATTTGAAGCATGTAAATAATTGAAAGTCAGTACCAGATCATTCATTACACTTTACGAAGCGTTGAAGGAGGATGATGTAGTTGAAGATAGGTGACAGATACAAGGTTTATAACGAATTAATGAAATTTTGGTTTAAAATGTAGACAATGGATGCTTTCAGAAAGTAATCTGAACTCTAAATTTAACCATTTGAATTTGTAGTCTTACTTATCACTAACATTTCAGTGATATTGGTTGAGTGTTGTATAAATTTGTGTGAATTGCAAGCCAATTCACAGTTTTCCTCAGGTCAGTCTTATAATTTATGACATTAAGTATCCCTGAAAGTCAATTGAGCATGTACTGTACTTGTCATATTTCCTAAAGAAGGGTATAGAGATTGTGTTTAGAACAAAAACACAAAATCAATCTGCTTTTTTGAGATGGCCTATCAAGTGATCAAACTCAAGTTTGGAACCTTGCTTGTGACCAGGATAATTAAGTTTAGGGTGGTTAACCCTGCATCTGGAGGAGCCTGATAACAAATCTTAAATTTAAGTCCTGAAGATCTGCAGTCCACCCAGGTTGTTATGGGGTGGGGGATGTTCTGATGAGTACAGTTCAGTACCAGGAATTCAGCACACATTTTCTTCCACTTATTTCTGAGATATTATGCAATATCTTGTTTTAACAAAAGCACACATTGAAAGGAAATTCTGCAGAGATGCCCAGAACTGTGTTGCTGAACTAGTAATCCAGAAGCCCAGCTCCATAACCCAGAGAACATGGATTCAGATCCCATCATCACACTCTGAAAGTCTGAAATACAATTCAAAGAAATTTGGGAACAATAGGCCAATACCAGTAGCGGTGAAAGTGAAACTCATTGGCATAAGGGCAACCTGTTTACTGGGATGGAAATCTGCCTGGTCTATAGGTGACTTCAGTCCTATATCACTGTAGTTGATACATAATTGGCTTCTGAAGCACTCTACAAGGCGTTGTTGTAACAGGATAACGAGGATGAATAATAAGGGCTTATAATACAAAAACAAAGCATTTGAATTCATTTCTAGAGAAATATAATCAAAAACCAAAAACCAGAGAAGCTTTGTTTGACTAGTGTACAAACTGGATTAGACCACATTTACAGAACTATAGACACCTCCAGACTGCATGTTAAAACAAGGAAATGGAGGCATTGGAAATTATGAACAGAAGTGGAAGTTGCTGGAAAAGCTCAGCAGGTCTGGCAACATCTGTGAAGAAAATAATGAGTTAATATTTCAGGTTTGGTGACCCTTCCTCAGTTAAGGATCTGTGGCAGTGTAGAGCTGCTACAGTAACCTATTCAACTGGCCCAAAAACAGCTGTGATTATAAAGTGAGAATGAAACTAATTGAGCAACAATAAGAAAAAAGCAAGCTATTACAAACCGAGATCTTAAATTGGGCAGTAATGACCGAATAGGATCTTTTTTGACCCTATTTTGTCAAGCCTTATTTTAATGTGAGCAAAAGGTCAAAGGGCACTCATCCAACAAGCCTCTAAACTCCAGTGTACTGGATTCTTCTTGGCGCGGAGTACAGTATAGGCTCTCAGACATCATGACTCCACAGTGAACTGGACTAGCCAAATAAATAACATAGTTACATGAACACTCAGAGGCTAGGAATCCTGCAGCAAGTTACTCACTTCTTACTGTCCATCATGTGCCAGGCACATGTCAGAAGTCTGATGGAATACTCTTCACTTACCTGGATGTGTGCAGTTCCAATAACAACACCCAAGAAGCTCAATATCATCCTGAATAAAACAGGCACTCATTCTCTCCATCACCTATGCTCAGTAGCAGAGGTTCCTTAAACAGCACCTTCTAAAAGAAAGATCACCAGATACATGGAAACACCACCACCTGCAAGTTCTCTTCCAATTTGCATACTATTCTGACACAAATAGCCACTTCTGCAGTGTCGCTGGGTCACCATCCCAGAATTCCCTCCCTAAAAATGCTGTGGGTCTACCTACATCAAATGTTCTGCAGCAGTTCAGGACAGCAGCTCTTCAGTTATCCTTGAGAAGGTGATAGAGATGGGTAATAAATGCTGACCCTGCCAGTGAAGCCAGCATCCCCTGAAAATCAATTTTTAAAAAGTGGGCTAAAAGTAAATGCCAAATTGACACATCAATAAGGTGTACTCCACAGGTTGAAAATCAGCCAATAATTTTCTAGAATTATGTTCAACTTGCTTTTATTAATTCTTTGCTGGTCATTTCTTTCCAAGTGCTTTCTATTTGATTCAGAACTGATCAACAAAACCAAAATTCAGTTTGCTCAGGATGCTGTAGTGCTGAACAATGTCCACTGGGGGATGCCAAACATTTCCCCTTTTCATAAATTGTCTCATTATAGAGAAGTTACAGCAAGACATAATTTAAATAAACATAAAGGCTCAATAATGTGTAACATTTAAATAATCTGAATATGATTTTTTAAAAACATGATTCTACTTCAGAATGGCAGCAAAACACAAGTCCTATACCACCTACATACATAATATGCAGCATAAATTTTAGCAGGCCATTCAAGTGTTTATACTATACAATTTGGAAGATAGTTTTGTCAAATAATTCTGTACAATACTTCATTAAGTGGACATTAAGTTATAGGAAGCATTTCTCAAGCAAACTCCTTCACAATTTTAAAGATATTTATTTACAGAGACTTTTAAGACCACCCCAAAAGACTTCATTAAAATAGACCTTTTGTCATTTTTTTTTTAAAATAGATATTGAGATGAAGTACACACATTTCTGTAAACATTTTTCTGTTTCAACTGACAGGTAAGCAAAACTAGGGATTCTAGAGTAACTGTTAATGTAGTCAATGTGCAAACATTGCAATTGAATGCAAGTACAAAGTAGACAATTTTATCCAGAGGCTAATTAAAAGACTGCTTCTTAGGAAATTTAGCAAAATAGAAGAGTTAACAATTACGCTTCAGGCATAAGTGTTTTTGGTATCTGAGAAAAAAACTTTTTTTGTACCGCCAGACACTGAAATGTATGCAATCAAACTATTGAAGTAACAAAATATAAATCTGGTAGAATTTCAGAACCAGTAGAAATGACAAACTCGCTTCAGTTGGTCAGGTGGGATCACAAAAAATGGGGAGTAAAACTGCATTCATATAGCAGCAATACAGACTTAATGCTTAGGTATGAAATGTTCCTTGTGAATCCTGTGTCATTTAATGTCAGTTCGCGAAAGTCTATGACATGTGCCAGAGGTCATGCAATCTTGTTCACCAAACAAGATTTTCATCTGAATTCTTCATGAGTCGGAGTTTCCTTCTTTTCTAAGTAAAAGAATGGTCAGCTTGGATTTATATTCTTCCTCTCCTGCCAGATGTTCAATTCATTCTTCATGTGGTTTACTAGATTAAAAACAAGAAATTTTGTAAGACAAAGTAGCTGCATTAAAGATTGTAATATTGCAATGCTGCTTTGTTTTAAAAAGACATTTTAGCATCCTAAAATAATTTATTTTATGAACATACTTTGCAGATTCCTTGACCAAACAATGATAAAATAACATGGTGATATTTGTGAAACATCCGAGTACAAACCTGAGAAGTCAAGTTTGACAAGTTAGATTTGTGTGGAATGTTAATAAAACATTTTGGATCACATTTTTGGAACACTCCTATCTCAAGTACAGTGGGTGGTGTCTGAAGTGAGCTTACAGCTAGCTGGAAAAGTCCAGCACAAATGTGCTATACTTCCTACTATCAATGTAAAACACACTTCTTTTATCTACTTGGTAGTTTTCTGCCAACAGACGAATTTTAATTACTCTAACGAATACATGGTTTGTACAGGCCAGAAGCTGCTTATGTTCCTTTATTAGAAGGACCATTCAATATTAATATAAAAATATTCATTTATGATAAATTACCTAACATAACTGAATATAAATACTGCATAATGACAGAGTATTTAGCTTTTGTTTGGGCTTCCAGGTTTGAATCACAATCTGCACAGTGATCCATTTTCTTTACATTTTTTCTGAAGAGGCAGTGGTTTCATGGTAAAGATCACAAGCTGAATAGATGAGACGTCATGTTCTTCAATTCAATAAATGAGCTTCCCGATACAATATTGTTGAAATGCAGCAATTCTGGAAGGATCCAACTCTCATGTAACAATCTCACTTGTCCATTTCAAACTCTGTCAGCTTAAAATATCATTGTGTTGGCATTCAATACATTTTGGAAAAAGATGAACACTGTACAACAACAGTGACGAATATCAAGAACTTTTGCAGTCACTTCTATATGTTGTTTGGCATGGGAGGATAGTTATTGCTGTCTTGAAAAAAATCTCCTCCATCTCTGAACAATGACTAGTGGACAGAGAGAGAGCTTTGCCTGTTGGGTCATAAAGTAATTACAGTACAGAAGAATGCCATTCTGTCCATCGAGTCACTGCTGGATCTCTTTCAAGCAAACCAGTCAATCCTATACTCCTGCTCTATACCTGTAGCTCTGTGCATTTATTTCCTTCAAATGCTTGTAAAGTTTTGTTTTGAAGAATTCACTTTTGCTTCCACCATTCTTATGAAACACAAAATTCCAGAACATTGCCATTTGCTGTGCAAAAATATTCTTCCTACTATACTCCCTACAACTTTTGCCAAAAGCCTTTGGTCTATGTCAGCTAATCTTTGGACTATCACCTAAATCTAAACTTGTCATAACCGCTATCAAATCTCCTCTAATTCTTTGTTTCAAGGAGAACAAACCCATTTCTCCAATCTAACCTTTCCAAAATCCCTCAATTCTGGAACCATTCTGGGCTCTGCCACTTCCATTGAGATATAATTGCTAGGTTGATAAGTGAAAGTAACACAGAATTGTTGCTTCCTTCCTTCCAAAGCTGCTTAGCTTTTGTTGTGATGCTTCCAAAAAGAAATACACCTGACTGGAGTTTCATGATGGTGCTATAAGATATTGCAATAGTCGCTGTCCTAAATACCCAGAAAATAAAAGAGCAGGAGTAGGCCATTCAGCCCTTCAAACCTGCTTTGCCATTATGACCATCTTGCCTGTTCCCACTTTTCCCCTCAAGATTCCTTTAGCCCCAAGTGCTATATCTAACTCCTCTTTGAAATCATACAATATTTTGGCCTAGACTGCTTGTGTGGTAGTGAATTCCACAGGCTCACCACATTCTAGCTGAAGAAATTTCTCCTCATCACAGTCCTAAATGGTTTATCCCATAATCTTGGGCTGTGACCCCTTGTTCTGGACTCCCCCCACCATGATGAACATCTTTCCTGCATCTATCCTGTCTCGTCCTTTTAGATTTTTATCGGTTTCTATAAGAATCCTCTCATTCTTCTGAACTTCAGCGAATATGATTCAACTTCTACTTCACATGCGAGCCTTGTCAAGCCAATCAGTCTGGTAAACCTTCACTGCACTCTCTCTACAGCAAGAGATTCCTCCTCAGTTAAGGAGACCAAAATTGCACATAATATTCTGGGGTGGTCTCACCAAAGCTCTGTACAATTATAGCAAGACCTCCCTGCTCCTGTACTCAAATCCTCTTGCTTTGAAGGCCAATGTACCCTTGGCTGTACCTGCATGCTTAACTTTAGCGACTGGTGGCCAGGACACCCAAGTCTCGTTGCACATTCCCCTCTCTCTCAGCCATTCAGATAATAATTTGCTTTCCTTTTCTTGCTGCCAAAGTGGACGACCTCCTGATTATCCAAGTTATATATTGCATCTGCCATGCATTAGCCCACTCACTCAGCTTGTCCTAATTGCACTGAAATATCTCTGCATCCTCCTCACAGCTCATCCTCTTGCACAAGTTTGATATTTGTAATCTAACCAGATTATTCTTGGAAATAACTGTGGCAAATCACTTCATGCTTCATCACACATTGCATTACCTAACTTGCAAAGGTTGGGGTTTTTTTTTTGTCAAAACTCTGCTTTATCAATTCCCCAAACTACACAACTCCTGACCATTGAGATATGAAAGTATTAAATTGGGATACAAATGCAGTTTTAAAAAGTACACAGTTAATGCTTACTTAAAATGTTTTATGACCATAACATGTTTATAGGGAGGGAAAAACTTATGAGAGTATGTCACAGACATTTTTCACTGCATAACAAAAATAATATTGTGGTGACTATCAAAACAAAACATGGCCCTAAATGTAATTTGCCCTTCCACAGGGACTTTAGTCAAATGCACCAGTTTTAGAAGATAACTCTTAGACAGTTAACCGCAGTCTATACTTTCAGCTGTTGCGTTAGGAGAACTATGTTGTCAGCCATTCTGACTAAGCATGCTCTTCATCTTAAACAAACACAGAATGCTGGAGAGACCCAGCGGGTCTGGCAACATCCTGTGGAGATAGAAAGAGTTAGTGTTTTGAGTCCAGTATGACTCTTCAGAAGCTGTCCATCTTCGTTGTTTGGGAGATATTAAGCACACACGAGATGTATGAACTCCCTAGTGTTATGAAATTATTACAACCAGCCATCTCCAAAGACAGCTGCCTTTTTGGTTTGTGAGTAAAAGAACAAAATAAGTTGATGGTGACTCATTATATCATTGAAAAAATGATGCAATAACTCACAAAATCATCCAGATTCAATAAATGTCAACATGATTTGCCCATCACACTCTGGACTCCCCTTCTCAGATTCCTGGTACAGTCCTTGGTTTTAACTTTTCACACAAAGTGTTCAATTTGTGAACATACTCAGACACTTGCGATATCTATCCCAAAACTTTAAAGCATTTCATGTTGTTGCAACATGTACACTGGACAAGGGCCATTTTCAATATTTTGTGACAGTCGTAGGTTGGAATTTTAATTTACTTGCTCTCTTGAAACAGCAGTTGCACAATGACAAATTTAATTCTATTTTCTTCCCGTATCACTTCTCCGTAGGATGAACACTAAAGATTAGTAATTGAAGAAGGAAAACAAAATCAGTACTTTTGGAACATCTATACCAGGCCATGTATTTCAGTCTCACTTGAAGGAGTCTCACTAGGTCAACATTTGGAGTCATAGAGCTGTACAGCATGGAAACAGACATTTCGGTCCAACTCGTCCATGCCGAGCAGGTATCCTAAATTAATCTAGTCCCATTTGCCAGCATTTGGCCCATATCCCGCTAAACCCTTCCTATTCCTATGTCCATCCACATGCCTTTTATATGTTGTAAAAATACTAGCATCCACTTCCTTCTCTGGTGGCTTATCCCATACATGCACCACTCTCTGCGTGAAAAAGTTGCCCCTTAAGTCCCTTTTAAACCTTTCCCCTCTCACCTTAATCCTATACCCTCTAGTTTTGGACTCCCCTACCCTTGGTAAGAGGCCTTGACTATTCACCCTGTACACGCCCCTCATGATTTTATAAAGCTTTATAAGGTCACCCCTCAGCCTCCAAGCTCCAGCGAAAATAGCCCCAGCCTATTCAGCCTCTCTCTATAGCTCAAACCCTCCAAACCTGGTAATATCCTTAAATCTTTTCTGCACCCTTTCAAGTTTAACATCATCTTTCCTATAGTAGGGAGAGCAGAATTGAACGTAGTATGCTAAAAGAATGCAGTACTGCAGGAATGCTGCAGTGTTGCAGATGCCATCTTTCAGATGAGATGCTAAACTAAGGCAGTCTGCCCTTTCATGTGGAACTGAGCTCTATTTCAAAGAGCAGCAAGGGCCACCTTCCCAGTGACCTGGCCAATATTTATTCCTAAAATCACTTAAGATGATTGAGGCAAGAATGATCTAATCACTGTTTGCAGGATCTTGTTTTGCTGCCATTTTTCCTACATCACAAAGGAGCAGAGTGGTGGAGGGGTACATGGGATACCCTGAAGTCATGCAAGGTGCAAGAGACATGCAAGTTACTTTATTTCCTAAAGTATCAACATTTTCCTGCCAATATTTTGCAACAGTAGAAGCTGAAATACCACACAGATTTCAATATTTTGAGCAATGCTAATTTTCACCATAATGGTTTCATGATCATTAAACTATTATTTCCAATTTTTTATTGAATTCAAATTCCACTATCTACCATGGCAAGATTCAAACCCTGGTTCCCAGAACACCACCTCAAATCTCTGGATTAATAGTCTTGTGATAATACCACTAGGCCATCACAATCCCCTAAAATGGAAACCTAATAGAAATTGGGAGGAGACAGGAACAGGACAGAGAGGAGATAGGAAGAAAGAGAAGGGGAGAGAGGGAAGGAGGAAACCAATTACAGTTGGCTGAGCAAGAAGCTTTGACATGGAGATAGAAGTGACTTGTCAATGATGTTTGAGTACTGTAAGGACATTACTGAGATGAAAAGAGATGAATCAATTTTACTGTTTTTTTTGTAATGAGA